CTGGGATCATGACCTGAGCCGAAGGCGGACGCTTAACGACCGAGCCACCCAGGCGCCCCTGTGACAGCATTTTATAAGTAAATACTGATCTCTTTCACCTCAAACTTCCTTATGGTAGGGAGAATACATTCCATTTGGATTTTTTATTGTTCTAGATGGTGAGACTAAGACCAAGATTGGAGAGGTGACTTCAGAGGAGGAAATTGCAACAAAAATTGAACCATTGCCTGAAGAGTCTGGCAACCCCAGAGATGATGTTCTCCAGGATTCTGAATGCAGAGGATTCTGTGAATTGGGGGATAAATTAAATGAAAAGAATCAAAACCTCCTTAAAAGAAGACAGAATAACTGTGATGAATGTGGGCAAAGCTTTGCTTGGAATACAGGCCTAATTAGGCACCGAAGAACCCATTGGGAGAAACCCTATGAATGTGATAAGTGTGGAAAGGCCTTTAGTGTGAGCTCAGCTCTGGTTCTGCATCAGAGAATTCATACAGGGGAGAAACCCTATCCTTGTACTTGGTGCATTAAAAGTTTCAGTCGGAGCTCAGACCTTATTAAACATCAAAGAGTCCACACTGGTGAAAAACCTTATAAATGTGATGAATGTGGGAAAGCCTTCAGTCAGAGTTCTGATCTCATTATCCATCAGAGAATCCATACAGGAGAAAAACCCTATCAATGCAGTCATTGTAGTAAATGCTTTAGCCAGCGTTCAGACCTGGTTAAGCATCAGAGAATCCATACTGGCGAAAAGCCTTATACATGTAACCAGTGTAACAAGCATTTTAGTCAGAGTTCTGATGTTATAAAACATCAAAGAATCCACACTGGGGAGAAACCATATAAATGTGATGTGTGTGGAAAAGCCTTCAGTCAGAGCTCAGATCTTATTCTGCATCAGAGAATTCACACTGGGGAGAAACCATATCCATGTAATCAGTGTAGCAAAAGTTTCAGTCAGAACTCAGACCTTATTAAACATCGAAGGATCCACACTGGAGAGAAACCCTATAAATGTAATGAATGTGGTAAAGCTTTTAATCAGAGCTCGGTCCTTATTCTGCATCAGAGAATTCACACTGGAGAGAAACCCTATCCATGTAATCAGTGTAGCAAAACCTTCAGTAGACTTTCAGATCTCATGAATCATCAAAGAATTCACACTGGAGAGAAACCTTACCCATGTAGCCAGTGTAGTAAAATGTTTAGTCGAAGATCAGACCTTGTTAAACATCATAGAATTCATACAGGTGAGAAGCCCTATGAATGTGATGAGTGTGGGAAAACCTTTAGTCAGAGCTCAAATCTTATTCTCCATCAGAGAATCCACACTGGAGAGAAACCCTATCCATGTAGTGATTGTACTAAAAGTTTTAGTCGTCGTTCAGACCTCGTTAAACATCAAAGAATACACACTGGAGAGAAGCCGTATGCATGTAACCAGTGCAATAAAAGTTTCAGTCAAAGCTCAGACCTCACTAAACATCAGAGAGTGCACTCTGGGGAAAAGCCCTATCACTGTGATCATTGTGAGAAAGCCTTCAGTCAGAGTTCTGACCTTATTCTTCATCAGAGAATTCACACTGGAGAAAAACCATACCCCTGCACACAGTGCAGCAAAAGTTTCAGCCAGAACTCAGACCTTATCAAACACCAGAGAATCCACACTGGGGAAAAACCATATAAATGTCCTGAGTGTGGAAAAACTTTTAGTCAGTGCTCAGCTCTTACCCTACATCAGAGGATCCACACTGGGGAAAAACCATATTCATGTGATCAGTGTGGCAAAAGCTTTAGTCGGCGCTCTGATCTCATTAACCATCAAAGAATCCACGCTGGTGAAAAGCCACATAAATGTGATGCATGTGGGAAAGCCTTCGGCACATGCACTGAACTTACTGAACACCAGAGAATCCACACTGGGGAGAGACCACACACATGTGTTCGGTGCAGCAGAAGTTTTAGCCAGCTCTCTGATCTTATTAATCATGAGAAAGTCCATTCTGCAGAAGACAGGCTAAGTGTGATGAATGTGGGAAAACCTTTAGAGTATACACCGACTTTATTTCGTACCAGAGACACTATACCAGAAAAAAATCTTAGGAATGCTATTGAGGATTATGAAAAAGGTTTTAATCAGTGCTCAACTCTTGTGCTACATTAAACACACACACACACACACACACACACACACACTGGACAGAAAACATTAAGTTCTACAATGAATATTTAACTGAGAGTTCAGACATTACTAAACTTAAGAAAAATTCTGAAGAGGATCCTGTGAGTAATTGGGAAAACTTTCAATATGAATAAAAGTATTACTGAATGTCAGCAACAATGGAAAGAAATTTCTGTCTGCTATAAGGGAAAACAAGCCTCTGGTCTTATATTCAAATATAATCCACAAGGGGAGAGTTTTATCATTATAAGAAACGAATAACAATGCAGAACCTTATCAGATATTGTAAAGATCATGTGATGGGGTGTGCAATCAGCTCAGAAGGAAATGTGTTAGTGTTAACTCAAACCTTTAGTGAGCCCTAATTATCTATTGCATATCAGAGAAGTTACTTTAGAGATTGTAGGGAAAACGTAAATCCCATATCTTAATTGGCATTCACTCATAATCGGCATACCACAGACCTCCTGACAACGGAAGAGTCCTACCTGATGCTCACATTAGTTATCTGTCATTAAATTCCCTGTGTGTGAACGTGCTATGCTATTCTGGTATTAATACTTACTAACTACTTAACTCCAGTGCCCAGTTTTCCCAGAAAAAAATTTTTTTTCTTTGGCCTAGTTTTGGTTTTCCTAATGAGCTTGAGTTTTCAGGTTCCTGCAATAGTCACAGCAAATATGGACTTATTTTGCTTTGGTAATGCAGTCCATAGACTAGTGGTTTAAAATCACTTCTTCAATATTACCATTTAATCACAGTTCCTAAATATGTGAAACAATTTTTTTTTTTAAATTCCATATGTCAGAGTGTGAAGATTTCTCTAGCACTGTTTATCTTGTCATCTATAGATTGAACAAAAATGAGAGCCAAAGTAATTCCCACATGACTAATTTGTATACCATATTCTGTCTAAAAATAAAAAGACTTACTGGGGCGCCTGGGTGGCTCAGTCGTTAAGCGTCTGCCTTCGGCTCAGGTCATGATCCCGGGGTCCTGGGATCGAGCCCCGTATCGGGCTCCCCGTTCCGCGGGAAGCCTGCTTCTCCCTCTCCCTCTGCCCCTGCTTGTGTTCTCTCTCTCGCTGTGTCTGTCAAATAAGTAAATAAAGTCTTTAAAAAAAATAAAAATAAAAAGACTTACTGAATTTTTCAAGTGGCAACATTTATCAGACTTTGGTTTGTTGATTTCTGATATACATATGATAATAGGCTACTATATGCAAAGTTTTCAGCTGAAAAATAGAAACTTTTTTAAAAATAAAAAATCCAAATTGTTTTTCTAATATTAACCATTTGGTAAGATTCAACTACTATACTTTGAATATTCCCCATAATCATCCAGTTAATATATCACTTTAACACAATTACTGTTATTTACTATGTGCAAGGCATTATTTTAGGTTTTGTAGTATACACAGAGAATATACAAAGCATATGTGATAAAGCCTGATGTATACAGAAAACACATGTACAAGCATAGAGGTAGACAAGATGCTTGTAAGAGCTCAGGGGAAGTAGGGTTCATTCTGACTGGAAAGAAAAAGTTTGGGGAGCTCCTGAGACTTGAGTTTTGAAGGATGGGATTAGAGACATAAGGGCAGGAAAGGAGTAGTCAACAAAAGCACAGAAGCAAGGAAGTGTAAGAAATGATGTGGAGTATGTGCCTAGTCTTTAATTCATTCAGTACACCTTCAGTGTCAGGCACTACTGAGCACTGCTCGGGGGAGAGAAAGGGTTCCTGCCCTTACGCTCCAGTGTTTCTGCAAATAATGACTAAAATGTACTTAAAAGAGTAAGAATAAGGTGGAAATAAAAATGAAGTAGAAGAAAAGACTGTTAAGGAGTATGATGCTAAACAAGCAGGCACTTCAACTTTCTGGCATTTGGTATCATGTAAAATAGAAAAGTAGTAGTTAGGATTGAGTTTCATATTTCTGCATTTTGTTCTCAAGGTAGTGAAGGCCATTGAGGTCTTTGAACCAAGGAATGCCGTGATCATCTCACTGCCTTCAGAAGAATAAAATTAAGCGGGGAAGGAAAAGAAAGAAAAACTATTTTGGAAGTCTGGAAATAAAAGCATGAGGGTCACAAGTCGAAGAGCTAAAAGGCATTGACATGACAATAATTTGAGAAGGGAGTAGGAAAAAAGTATAATTAATTAGCATCTGTTCTTTGGGGAATTTAAAAAGTGAAGAAATAGGATGATGAAATTTATATCTGAAGTTTACCCCTCTCTCCTGAGGATAAATTTTATTTATTTATTTTTAAAGATTTTATTTATTTATTTGACAGAGACACAGCGAGAGAGGGAACACAAGCAGGGGGAGTGGGAGAGGGAGAAGCAGGCTTCCCGCAGAGCAGGGAGCCCAATGCGGGGCTCGATCCCAGGACCTTGGGATCATGACCTGAGCCGAAGGCAGACGCTTAATGACTGAGCCACCCAGGTGCCCCTGAGGATAAATTTTAAGAGCCAGCTGCTTACTACACACTTCTACCTAGTGTCATGAACTTAACACACACCCCCATGATATCCTCCTCCTGAATTCCCTATCCTGGTGAATTGCGCTGCTAAACATCTTGCCATACAGATGAAATCACTGGTAGCCGTCCTGCACTCCCCACTTTCCCCAGTTTTCTAAATCCACTTGCTCATTAGGTTTTAGAAATGAGTTACAAAAGTAACACTACTTATATAATTTTTAAAAGTCTAACAATAACAAGTGTTGAGAAGGAACATGGTAGATCAGTAATTGTATTACATCAGTAATTATATTACATGTAAATGGACTATAAGACAAAAATTCTTGCATTTTTTAAAGTTTATATGGTACTTACTCGAGCAAGACACACTGTAACGGCAAGGATCCAGGGAATTTGAAATTAAAGTATGGAAAAAGATACTCCATTAAAACACTAACGGAAAGAAAGCTGTTAATAGCTGTACCAATATTAGACAAGAAGTAGACTTTAAAGCCAAAGGCTTACTAGAGATGAAAGGGGACACTTCTATTGATAAGAGTCAATTTACCAAGAAAATATAAATATCCTGAAGTGTATACATCTAATAATTTTGCTTCAAAGTATATAGAGCTGAAATCGACAAAACTAAAATGGGAAAGATAAATCTACAATCCTAGTAGAAGACTTTCACACAGCTCTCAGTAAACAAGCAGAAAAAAATGTTTAAGAATATAGTACATGTGGGGGCACCTGGGTGGCTCAGTCGTTAAGCGTCTGCCTTCGGCTCAGGTCATGATCCCAGGGTCCTGGGATGGAGCCCCGCATCGGGCTCCCTGC